CTTATACAATGGAGTATTACTCAGTGATAAAAAAGATAAACTAGAGGCTTTTGTAGGTAAATTGATGCAACTAGAGACCATACTCATAAGTGAAATAAATCAGACCCACATGTGTACACATCATTTTATCTCCCTGATGCAGGAACCTGAAAGAGTAAATAAAATCCAAATCGTAAAATAGATGGTATGAAAAAGAAAGAAGTTCTTTCTGAAAGGAAGGAACAACTGGGATGAGGAAGGAAGGAAGGAACTGAAAGGAAAGAACAACTGGGATGAGGGAAAAAAGAAAAAGAAAAAAGGAAGACAATGCATGTGTGTGTGTGTATGTGTGTGTGTAGAAGGATAGCTGGGATAACTGTACTGATGATGTCTGGTAGTTTTTTGAGAGGAACATTAACTTTTTGAAAGTTAAAGCTTAAAATTTTTTATATTTTGACCAAATTTGCGTACTTATATCCAGTAATCTGAGCAACTGATTTGTTGACAACAATATGCAATAGAACAACCATTGGTGAATTCCTACTATCTTGTCTAGTGAAACTCTGTATTGTCTCTAATGTTTTATTTAATGATTATTTTTATTCTCTTTAATGGTTTAAACAATCTTCCATTCTTATATCTGGTAATCTGACAAAGTTAGCTGAAGATAACAATATGTAATATAACAATAACCACTGTTAATTCCTATCATTTTGCTTTAAAACCCTGTGTGGTGAACACATAATTGGTGAACCCACATAAAACAAATGAAAATTGCTGGGCTACTGGGTGGAGGAAAAATGTCAGTTTGATCCAAAGAAAGAAAAACTATGCTTGATTATTATTTGGTTTGAAAACTATGCTTGATTGTTAGTTTAGTTTGAAAACAATGTATGCGTCTAAGAACGTTCTGCACTTTGCAACACCTGCTTGCTGGAACTGACAGGTTCCGCTTTTTGCCCTTGCAAAAAAATCTTTTCACCTGCTCCAACCAGGATGTGGTTTTCAGCCTTAAAAGCTCAAACTTTCTTCGGTTCAGAGCTGCTCAGCATCTCCCTGAGTGGAGAACAGACTGACAGCCTCCGGCCCTGCTAATAAAGGCTCTTAAAATTTCAATTTGGATTCTTGTCTCGGTTCTTTATTCCTGCTAACCCATTACACCTGTATCATTTTTAATGTTCTGGCTTTGTATTGTTTATGTCTGTAATGTCGGTATTTTGCTATTGTTCCTTTTTCAGTACTCTCTTTAAAATAAAAAATAAAGTTATTGCAATACTCTGTGTCTCATTGCAGAAAATATCCTGAATCTTTTCTCATCATGCACTATTAAGATTATTTTCCCAGTCATATCCATTTTAATGGGTTTTTTTTTTCAAAATTGAGTCTACATCTGTTCTTCAATATATTAGGTAGGAAACATATGTCAAGAGCCATACAAATGTAAAATTTTTTTATCCAAAACTGAAATTTTTTCCCATGAAAATGGCCTGACATATGTATTATATATTATATCCCATATATTGTATATTACATATTATATATCATATATTATACACTATACATTATATATGTATATATATGGCCTGATTATATATTATATATGTAAGGAATTCTTTTTTTATTTTGCAGTGAAGCAATGAAGAAGTGTAAACAGCTGAAGTTTTCAACTGGTGGAGCTTACTGTGAAAGTGAGATTGAAATATACCTTCACTCATTAAAATGACAGTAGAAGACAGCCATAATAGCTTGGATGAAGAAATGATTTTCAGATTTCTTTATGTGCTTATGTTTAAATGGCTATATCTGTGTTTTCTTTTTTCATTTTTCTTCATATTTTTCACAGTGTATAGGAGTTACTATTTTACAGTAGATAAACTGTTCTTCTGATCATTTCAATGCCTTACACATTATGGGGGCAAAAAAGATCTTACCATTTGACATATTTTGTCCCACAACATCAGATCTGATACTGTTGCATATTCTTATCCCTAGGGGATCTGTTCCTATCGTTGCCCATTGCCAAAAATAATTATAACAATTCCTTGATGACTTTTAAGAGTCCCTGGGGCTCCAGGGACTCTTTTGTTTTTTTAACTCTATTAGTCTTCATTATAGTTGTAATAATATAAATTAGCTAGTTATAATATTTAGAACAAAATAAGATTGGAAGGTCACCTATCCTTCATCACCCAATAGACCTTGGTATCTTCGGCAATTTATACTAGGTAATTCTGTATTTTATGTAGAAGAGAACAAGAACATACCTTCTTGATTTAAAATGATAGAAGCTTTCTCATTGAAACGATTCTATGAAGGAGAGCTTTGAGTATTCAAGACCTTTTCTGGCTGACTGTGTTTGTCCGAGAGAACAGTTACACAGTTCTCCACTGGAATCATTGTTTAATCTGTGTCTCAGTGTGAGCATCTACAAATAAACTGTCAAGAAATGCCATGAAATAGCTTACTGCTTAAAGGGTGCGTATGAACATGTTTGCTACTCTAGTTTTTTACTGTATTTATACATTCACATAAACTTGCCAGAAGAGAGGTGGGTGGGAAATGTAGCAATATACTGCTCTTTTGATGGAAAGAAATAATCTATAAGTTGGATGGTGCTATTAACATTTCACTATGATTTTTTTAGAATGATGGCTAGAAATCATGACCAGCTTAGTTGAAAAAGATTCAAAAATAAAATTAAAATAACACACACCTACCCCCAAAATCAAAATTCAAATGTACAATAAAACTGCACTGCCATACTGAAATTTTATTAGGGATGTCTGATCTTTTTCAAAATTAAGGTGCTTTCTAGAAATTAAATACTTAAAAGAATTCAGTCAATATGACTATCATGGGACTATTAAATGTTTAAAATTTATCAAAGACTGGACTGAGAAAAATCAAGATATTGATGATTGGAGAAGAAAGTTAGATTTTATGATATAAATAAAAATGAATGCAGTACCAAAAGAACTGAGAGAAATGATATTGAAGTGAGATTTTGTGAATTTTGTGAAGTGAGATTTTGAAAAGGAGAAAGACAAGACAGAAGCTCTCATTCTTTCAGCTAGAGAGACACCTTCTTTAATAATACACTACTGAAAAGAGTATTAGCTTCCTATCAACATTTTTTTTACCCTGAACCTGGACTACAATTCCTTTGCTGCTGTCCCTCTACCATAAAGCACTCTTCTGCCCACAGTAACAGAAGACGGTGTTCATTCAACTAGACAAAAAAAGAGAAAGAAATTGTTTAACGCTCTGGTAATACAGATGCCAAGCCATTCTGAGGTTAAGAAGGTACAAGAGTGCAGGAGAACAGGAGAAATGACTTCTAATGTTCTGTAGCACACTGAGATAACTAGGTTAATGAAAACGAATTGAAAATTTCACAATACCTACTTGAAAAATTTTTGAATGTTACCAACACAAAGAAATGATATATGCCTGAGATTACAGGTACACTCCGATCTGATCCTTCTAGTATACACATGGTATTGAAGTATCACACTATACTCTATAAATGTGTACATTTACTATATATTAATTAAGACTACAAATGTATTACAAAAATACTGCAATCCTGGCATTGAGGGAGGCAGAGACATGCAGATCACAAGTTTAAGTACCACCTTGTGGAACCACTTAGTGAGACTCTTTCAAAATAAAAAATAAAAACAGTGTGAGGAGGTAGTTCAGTGTGAAGTGACCTTGGGCTCAATTCCCAGCATCCCTTCCAAAAAATGACACATTTCCTGAAAGGGATTTTCTAAAACAATGAAAGAAGGCTTATTCTTCGGAGGGAGAGACAGAGAGAAAGACAGAGAGAGAAAGAGAGAGAGAGGAAACTTATCTGAAGAGTTTAAGGTAAGAAAGTATAGAGCTCTGAAAATGTTACTTGCAAGCGAGAAGTCTATGAGTATATATCACTACAATTAGGAATAAATTTTTAAATAATACTGACCTAGTTATTGATATGAATGCAGAATAGCAAGAGCCCAAGACTTTAGTCTCAATATTTTACTGAAGAAACACTGAGTAATATTTGTAATCAACATACTGAAAGGCATTATTCAGTGACACTTAGGATTTTTAATCCCTATCATCCATGATTTTAGACATCGAGAACTTGATTCCATATACAGTCTTTCCTCACCTCTCTGTTTCCCTCCTCTCTCTCTCTCTCTCTCTCTCTTTCTCTCTCTCTCTGTCTGTCCCTGTCTCTCTGTCTATCTCTATCTCTCTGTCTGTCTCTGTCTGTCTGTCTGTCTCTCTCTCTTTCTCTCTCTCTCTCTCTCTCTCTCTTTCTCTCTCTGCCACTATGTAGCCCAGGTTGAACTCAAACTTGAGATTCTCTTGCCTCAGTCTTCCTAGTGCTAAAATGACAGATTTATGCCACCACACCCCGGTTAGTTCTATCATTTTAAAAGTGAAAATAATTGACCACTGCTTTACTTCACAGACTGTCTTAAAGATTATGTAATTATATACATGATGTACTTAGAATGGTGCCTGGAGCAAAGCACGAAGTGTGGGTTTATTATTATCGTGATTATATGGAGTTCAGTGATAGGAAAGCATATGATGGAGCATCTTTTTAAAAGCTGATGTGTTTAGAAGTTAAGCAGTAACAGATTGAGAACAGAACGCATAACATAGAAACAGAAGCAGAGATCCTGGATTCGAAGGAAATTATAAAAGTGGGTATACAGTGTACTGGTGAGCATTTTTAACAATGTCTTTCTTGATTTTTTTTCCATTATATGTTGTATAAATGTGTTCCAATCTGGAATAATTAAGTAAGACCTTGACTACACACACACACACACACACACACACACACGCCTGTACATATTCTCTCTGTAAAATTCTTCAAGTTATTAAGGAATATTGATAGAAGTTGGATGAAGTGAATATTTATGGAAGCATTTATCATTATCTAGTTTTATCATTGAATTCTACAACTCAAGTCTCTCTGACTTTTACATTTAGGTTTGACCAAGTCCAAGAACCCATCAATGAGAAACCGTACAGCAATTACAACGTTCATTCTTCTGGGACTGACAGAAGATCCTCAGCTGCAGGTCTTGCTTTTTATTTTTCTATTTATTACATATATGTTGAGTGTAACTGGCAATCTGATCATCATGACCCTCACTGTGACAGATCCTCACCTGAAAACTCCCATGTATTTTTTCCTCCAAAATTTCTCTTTCTTAGAAATCTCATTTACAACTGCCTGTGTTCCAAGATTCCTATACAGTATTTCAACTGGAGACAGAACAATTACCTATAATGCATGTGCTACTCAACTATTTTTTACAGATATCTTTGGGGTAACTGAGTTTTTTCTTTTGGCTACCATGTCCTATGATCGTTATGTGGCCATCTGCAAACCTTTGCACTATATGACAATCATGAACAGCAAAGTTTGCAAAACACTGGTTATCTTTTGTTGGACAGCAGCATGTATGATTATTCTCCCACCACTTAGCTTAGGATTTCACCTGGAATTCTGTGACTCTAATAAAATTGATCATTTTGGCTGTGATGCAAATCCTATTCTGAAAATATCGTGCTCAGATACATGGTTAATTGAACAAATGGTTATAGCTTCTGCTGTATTGACTTTCATCATAACTCTTCTATGTGTAGTTCTTTCCTACATATATATCATAAGGACAATTCTGAAATTTCCTTCTGTTCAGCAAAGGAAAAAAGCCTTTTCTACCTGTTCTTCACACATGATTGTGGTTTCCATCACCTATGGCAGCTGTATCTTCATCTACATCAAGCCATCTGCAAAAGAAGAGTTAACCATTAATAAAGGTGTGTCAGTGCTTATTTCTTCCATATCACCTATGCTGAATCCTTTCATATACACTCTGAGGAATAAGCAAGTTAAACAAGCCTTTCAGGATTTACTCAAGAAAATCGCATTTCTCTTAAAGAAGTAAAGTATACCTAAGTTAATACACGAATCCAAAAGACCCACATCTACTTCACATTTTTCAGAAAACTAATAACTAGCTTTATAATTTCCCAGCCTATAGAGTAATTGGACCTCAGCTGTTTAAATAATTTTTCACTAATTTAATTGCTGATTGACTAATTATTGAATAATTATGATAGATTTAAAGTATCATTTTAATCCTTTAGCCAAAATTTATCTCAGTTGAATCACTATTCTTCTTTCCAAATGATTTTCCTAGATAACTTTGTAATATGGATTTGAAGTCATTTTTTCTAGCTTCTATGAGAAGTCATTTGTAAGACATGGATTTCTTTTGATGTTAAAACAATATAACAAGTTTAGCTAACAAAATTTCAAATATCTATGGTAAATGAAAAAACTTAAAGAAAAGCACTAAAAATAATATACAAGTAAAATTATAACTCTGGGCTAAATTTAACATTAAAGGATTAAATCATAACTGTATAGATTCTATAAAACCACTTACCATGAATGCCAAAAAACAGCATATTAGATCCAGTAAATCTACCTTTAACTGTAGGTTATGATGCACAATTTCAATATAGCAATAGATTTATGAATTAAACCCATGAAACTTATTTTATGAACATATGTGTGCAAACATTTCATTTTGTCTAATGTTAAGAAGTAAGCTAACAAAGTGAAACTGGAACTTTCACACAATTTGTTTAAAAATATTAAAATGAATATATTATTGAAAGTATAACTTTGGAGAAGCCAGAAACTTGGATTATCCAAGGAAACTAACCAGGAGAGAGCAAAGTGGGCCCAAGAGAGAAGCCATAGGAGTTACCACCACCCCAAATGCCATAGGAACAGAGCCATGCAAGTCCTTTGGAGTTCACAATTTGCCACAGATTTCCTCAGATGCTGCACATGGAACTACAGGACTTAATGTTTCCCTGATGGATTTTGGACTTGTTTTGGTCTCATTCTTTTGTATCCCTCTATATGTAACTTTTGGAATGGAAATGTTTATCTTGTGCCATGGAATGTTGGAAGTGTTTAACTTTTTTTCATTTCTACAAGTGTTCACAGCTAAGAGTTTTGCTCAGAGGAGGCTTTGAACATGGACCTTTCAGCAATACTGAAACTGTTACAGCTTTGGCAACTCAGAGATGGACTAAATGCCTGTTGCATGAAAGGATGTACAGGAGCCTTTGGGGGACAAAGGGTGGAATGTTATAGTTTGTGCCTAGATGTCAATGTCCCCACCAGAGCCTCATACAGTCCTGGGGAGCAGCCTTTTCGAGGTGGCTGAACCTAGATTTTGTGACTTCATTGTCTAGCGCTAGGATCAGTGGCATGAGTGCATACAAGATAAGGGATGGGAAGTGATTTGCTCCTCCCCGCTTTTTCCCCTTGTTGCTTTTGCCATGCCAGCCACCATGAACAGTTGCCCTTTTGCTGTGCCACCCTGCCTTGAAGCCCACTGATTATGAGATGAAACCTTTAAAACTTGTGAGCTAAATAAACCTTTCCTTCTTTAACTTTGGGTGCTGGGTATTTTGTCCCAGCAATGAGAGGAAAAGTAACTAAGACAAAGAATTTATTCTTCTTTAAATAAAAATCATGTGAACTAGGCTACTTTTCTTCTTCTAGAGAGTGCTGTGTGTGTTTCATGTAGAAGTCCTGTCACAATTATTGCTAGTGGGAAGAAACACATCTTTATTCCATGAAGATGGAATGTCATACTAAAAAGGGTAACATTTAGGAATTCTCAGCAAATGCTCTCTACTGCCTTGCATTCTTGCATGCATTGATAAAAGCCAAAAAAACTGACATTAATTTCTTTTTTGTTTGTTTGTTTTTTGTTGGTTTTCTGGTTTTCTGGACCTGTGTGGTCCAGGCTGGCTTTCAATTCAGTATGTAGCTCAAGCTGGCCTCAAACTCATGGTGGTTCTCCTGTCTCAGCTTCCAAAATGCTGGGATTACAGGTATGCACCATCATAAGCAGGTTTAATTTCTGAATCATATTGTACTAATCACCAGCCTCACCACCAGACTTGTCTCATATCAACCAAAAAAGACTATTATTACTAACCAGTTAAAAACAGATTGCCTCAGGCTTACAATCAACAATTTATAGCCAAGGATCAAAACCCCTTTCAGCCTCATGTAGCACTTTGGATTTTCCTCAGTTTGAAAGCAGAGATGATATGTTGATAATATTTTGAATGGTGGCAAAAATTCACAAAGAATCCTGACTTATAAATTAACAGGCAGCCAATTCACTAGTGAACTTGATCTTATAAACACAGAGATTTAGGATGCGTAGGGGAAGTATTATTTCCATTTTCCCATGGAACACAGCTCTTGGTTCTGAGATACAATCCTGACTCCTAACACTTGTTCCCTCTCTTTCTGTGTCATCAAATTAACATAACAAATAAACATACACACACAACCCCAATCCCAGGTAACTTTTTTGAATGTGATTGTGCCAAATATAAAAAACAACTAAAGAGAATATCTTTAAATGTTGAGATTTCAAAAATGAGACCTTATAGTGCTCATTGTTTTCAGATCAATTACCAAATCAAGCATAAAAAATTGGTCAAGAAAAAAAAGAGAATTTTAAGCATTGACAGTTCCTCTCAATAAACTATAGACATTAGCAATACACTATTCTAGCTATCCTTATAAATACATATAAATTTTGTTTTTATTTAAGAAAAAAACAACATAACAAAACAAATACATAAAACAGAATAGAGAGCAATAAAAATGATACAGAATTTCAAAATATAGTGATATATTAACAATGGTTGTTATATTACACAATGTCATCTTCAAAATGGTTGCACACATAACCAGATATAGGCATGATAGATTGATGAAACAATTACACATTGTTGAACTCCTACCATTTTGTATGGTGAAGCTCTGCATCATTTCCAATGTTTTTTCTTAATTATTTTTATTGGTTTTTTACTTGTTACTGTCTTTGATTGTTTAATCAATCTTACATTCTTATGTCTAATGGACTGAGCAACTTTGTTGAAGATAACAGTATGTAATTTAGCAACTATTATAAATTTATGTCATTTGTCTTGAGGTCATGTTGCATTTTTATTGTTTTTCTGTTGTTTGGATTTTATCTTCATTATTATTTTGTTAGTTTTTTCAATTTTTTAAAATAAATAAATAGGTAAAAAGAACCCAAAATAAGAAACCATCCAAATGCTTAAAAAAACATGAGACCTTAGCATACCTCTGCAATTAGTTTCCTATTTACTCCTCCCAAAACTTTATAGTTTTCTCAAAATAGATCTTGTACCAGTTTTGTCACATTTGCTTCTAAGTATTTCCTATTTTAGTCTACCTGGAATTTTCTTTATTTTCTCTTATTTTTTGCAGCTACTACTTCTACTGGCACCTTGATAAAGTTGCCAAGCATGAACAATAAAAAATAAAAAGTCTTAAATGGTATTGGAAAAACTGAATATTCATACGGAGAAGAATTACACAATTAAAATTTACCAAGCATGACAATTAACTAAAAATGAATAAATACTTCAGCATAGGACCTGAAACTGTAAAACTCCAAGAAGAAAACAGAAGAAAAGCTTTATGACATTGATCTTAGAAATTATGTCGGGTATGATAACAAAAGCACAAGCAACAAAAATAAATAAGTAGGACTACATTAAATGAAAAATATTTTACAAAGAAGGTAAAACAATTGATGCAATTTAAATGTAGCCTCTGGAATGGGAGAAAAGATTTCAAAACTAAATATCTGATGAGATTAATCTCCAAAATATATAAGAAACTCCTCCAACACAACAACAACAACAAAAAAAAACCCTAAATAACTCAATTAAAAATTGGCAAAGAAATTGAACATAAATTTCTTCCAAAAAGCTCAACATGCAGCCAATAGGTATATGAAAATACAATCAACATCATTAATCATCAAGGAAATGCAAATTAAAGCCATGATGAAATATCACCCTAAACCTGTTATTATGTTTATTGTAATAAGCAAACAATCTCCCCATGCAACAACAAAAAAAACCCAAAGATAACAGTGTTGAGAGGGTATAGAGAAATTGGAATTCTTTGTTCTCTGTTGGTGGGACTGTAAATTAGCATATACACTATGCAGAACAGTATGGAGATTATTTAAAGTATTAAAAATAGAATTGCCTTATGATTCAACAATCCTATTTGGCGTATTCCATTCTAAAGAATAGAATCAGGATCTCTTAGCGATATCTTTACTTTTACTTCCATTGTATCATTAACAAAAGACTAACATAGGAACAATTTCCAAATAATTATCAATAGATGAATAGATAAAAATGTTACATACATACAGTGTAATATTATTCAGTCTTTAGAAAACAGCATCCTGCCACATATAATAACATAGATGAACCTTGAAGACATTATGGTAAGTGAAATAAGCTCGCTATATACAGACAAGTAATATTATTTTACTTTTATGAGGTATTTAAAATAGTCAAATTCATAGAAGCATAGAGTACAGTCATCTTAATGAGTTCAGGCTTCTGTAGCATTACACTTCAGAGTAGTGACTTACAAATAATAAAAATTTCTACCTCCCTAAAGGCTGGGAAGCCTATAATAAAGTCATCAACAGAGTCAGTATCGGTTGTTCTATGTTGGGCCTCTTGTTGCATGTCACAAGGCAGACTCAAGGATGCTTGCCTCCAACTCTTTGGAAGGAAGTGGCATTAGTCAACTTTCCATTACTATAGCAAGTACCCAAGATAGTAAGCTTATAAAGAAGATAGGCTTATTTTTAATAGCAGTTTTTGAGGTTTCCACCCATGATTGATTGCCATCTTTACTTCTGAGCCTGTGGTAAGGCAGCACATCATGGCAATAGTGTGTAACAAAGCCATCCAATTCATGCCCTGAAGGCAGAAAATTGACAAGAGACAAGGATAGAGTGAGGTCCCATTGGATCCTTCAAGACTGTGCTCCCAGTGA